AAAAAAATTTGTTTGCAATTTGGCGCCCCTAATCGTGGCGCCCTAGGCGGTTGCCTCGGTTGCCTGTGCCTAAATCCGGCCCTGCAGCTGCTGATGCCTGATAGTGCTGGAAGACGTCAATGTATTTTTTTTTGTATTATCTCATAAAAAAAAACGATGTCTTCTACTTGTTGGATAAAACATTGTATGCCACTCGTGTGTTATGTTTCCTAAGTCACTTGAGAATTTATACCACTCGGCCTGGCGGCCTCGTGGTATAAATCTTTCTCGCGTAACTTATTTTCACCATAACACACTAGTACCATAAATAACTTTAAATATTATTGTCAATATTATGAATCACTCTTTTCGCGCTAATCCCAGTACTTATTATCACTTAAAACCGCTAAAATCCATTAAACATCGTACTTTAAAGGGGGTGTGCGCCAAAAAAACAACTTCATCTAAAAAAAAACAGAAAAAAAATCTAAGAATAACAGTGAAATCCGCACCCCTCTATGACAAATAATACCGCAGATATGGCTCTATGAAGGTACCGCATCTCACCCTATGACGTCACGAAAGCTCAAGCGACGCACGAGAAAGTGGATTAAATTAAATTTACATAATGTTTTTCCTGTGTTACCTGCAATAATCTAAACAAAAACCACTCACGCGTGCCGGGAACAATCAAATTAACAATGCAGAGCGCCGCTGGACGAAGTTTTCGTGACGTCACGAGAGCGTCGTCCACACTTTAAAGCGGTATAGCTCAGCGATGGTTTATCGTAGAATAACGAGGTTTGAACAGTTATTCTTAGATTTTTTTGCACTAAAACTTTAATTTTTGGCGCACACCCCCTTTAATGAGGATACAGCAAACCACCAAAACAAAACTTGGAGGCTCAATATAGTCCAAGAGCCCGGAGCCGCCAGACACAACTTATTTTCTAAAGGACAGAATATGTGGGATTGAGTAGCACTTATAGGTACTATGAACGTATGTATACTCGCTAAGTTGGGTAGACGGCCAGTTGACTGTTATTTGTAAATAACGGTTTTTCCCATTATGGGAAAAACCGAATCCCATTTCTACTCTAGCCTGGAGTAGACTGTAAGTTTAAGAGGGGGAAATAGATATCTCGCTCACTCTCAAACGCATGCATAGTACCCTCGCGCTCGCACTCACGGAAAAACTATTATTGCGTCTGGGGGGATGTTTGACCGGTGCGATTGGTCTGGCTGAGCACGGGTAGTTATGAAATAGTCTTCCCAATAACATGTATGAAAATCAAGCGTTGGAAAAAAAGTTAAAGTACTTTTTAAGCTTTCGCACCTGGTGTCGGTAAATTGGCCGTCTACCGAACTTAGCGGGTATACATACGTTCATAGTACATATAAGTGCTACACAATCCCACATATTCTGTCCTTTAGAAAATAAGTTGTGTCTGGCGGCTCTGGGCTCTTGGACTAATATGGCCGTTTCCGTCTCTTTGTTGTCTGTAGTGACAGATAGAAAACGCTCCTTCCTGTAGTTTTATATTCAAAAGGCTATTAAGTTCACTAGTTCTTTTCACGTGGCTCCGGTTTAACTAACCGGGTTACAAAACGGTTAGAGAAATGACATACCGTTTTCTAACCCGGTTACAAAGTGACGTGATGGATGCCTACCACTCGAATTAGAGCGGTATGTTGCGGTTTGTTAAACCGGGGCCACGTGAAAAGGGTTATGGGGCTATTATAAATATGATGTGACATTTGACAGCATTGATTGACACTGACACTATTATTGTTCTCGATAGTCGATATTTACCTTGCGTTCGGTATTTTGCTCAAAGAGCAGAGCGTGCCGAGCGGAGCCATAATCACGTGACCAGTGAGCGAACAGAGCAGTTGAACGCTGTATAAAAGTGCCAGAAATTTTAATAAACGAACGCGAATGAGGCTGCACCGAGTACACTTTTTAAATAAACGAACGGTAAAGTCAAGCTCGGAGAACTCGGACCAAAATAACGAACGCACGGTTCGATATCCTTAGGTGCTTTCCAGTGACCCATTTGAGTTACTCCTGAGCAGCTCAGGAGTGCTCCACAATTGCTTCGCGCGTTCCAGTGCTTAGAGTGTCGTACACTTGAGCTACTCATTTCTGTTATCCCCTGCCCCCTCTTGCACCAACCCTTTTGCCTGTGTTTCATGCTCCTGAAATCCGAAATGGTGGGGGTTAAGACGAGAGCGTTCCAGTGCTGCTTATGTCGAACATTTCAAGAGCGTCACACTTCAGGAGCATGATACTCTAACAATTTAGGCACTGGAAAGCGGCTCTTGCACCTTGCATGTTGCTGAAGAAAAAGAAAACAAAAATAGAATTGATCATCAGTGGTCACCACTACAGTGACTCTATTACCACAGTGGCGACAATTACTGTCTTATTTTTGATTGGTTCTAAAATCCCATATATTTATATTGAAAACGCCGCCATCTTGTTCCCAACCTCTCGTTACTTTTAAATATGAATATATGGGATTTAGGTGAACATCCATCATAAATCATGGAAAACAACGTATTTGATGGACCTAATAATGGTTATCAAATACGTCGATTTCAATTTTTTATGATAGATGTCCATTCAAATCCTATATATTAATATTTAAAAGTAACAAGAGGTTGGGAACAAGATGGCGGCGGGACCTCTATTGTCGCCACTGTATGTAAAGGTTTATTTAGCCACTGTAGTCACCACCACCAAATTCAATATCTGTAATAAATTAAAATAAATATAAATAAAACCAAAAATTGATGTTAAGAAAACATCGATGTTTTCCTATCGATTTTTTCTTAACATCGATATCCCCTATACATGTTTTATCGATACAGATATCGATGTTTTCAATTAGATGGGCATCCCTAGTTGAGTAGAAAATAAAGCATTGTATGCACCACGGGGATTTTTAGATTATAATGCCTCTCAAGCGAAATATATCCCTCGGGCCAGAGGCCCTTGAGCAATTTTCGCCTTCGCGCATTATACTCTACATATTCTCCTTGGACCTTGGTACATAAATAGCTATTTTGTTCATAGTAGACATAGGTAGGTCAGATTTAACGGCACTGGCGAAAATATTGAAAAATCAAAAATTAAAAACACAAAACAAGTCAAACACCGTTCGTTTCCCAGTGGTATTTTCAGTGATGTCGTTACTTGACATACCGCCCCTAACCGTTTTGTAACCCGGTTAGTTTAAACCGGAACGTCAAGAAGGTGTCATGCGTTTTGCACTCGAACGGTTGAAACCGAACGGGTCAAACTGTAGCCGGAGTACTTCGGAGTAACTCAGGAGCGCTCAAAGGGTGGCACTCGAAAGCCTCACGTGGATTAATGGTCAAATGCTTGTCAATCTTTTCATTGTCATTATTGTCACTTCAAAGTAAACAAAAAAACAAAACGTTTATTTTGAATTCAAATAAATCTTCAAATAAATCAAATATTCATGTTGTTTAGTTGTTGGTTGTCTTGTTGTTTTGTGTTTTAGCTTTAATTACCAGTTTATCAGTCCCCCAGCAAATTAAGAAATTTATTTTAGAACCTAAGCTGTGAGTAAAACCATTTTGTCCATTATCTTAAATCAACGATTGGAAATTTGTAGACAATATTTAGGATTCATGATTTATAATGGCCTCTGAAGTTCTTAGTGAAGCATTTTCCACATGGAAAATGCTGGACGACCTGGTGGATTCCTTACTACTGAAACCAGGGGCGATTGATAAACTTGCTCTTCAAACTTTGGCCAACATGATTATGTCCAAAGAATTCTCCCGAACCATTATTTACACTAAAGAACCTGGAATCAGTTTTAAAGAATATGAAGACATAGTAGATCAGTATGCTTTGGTTACCACTTGGCTTTTGGGTAGATTTTTTTATCTACTAATCTGCGAGGATGATGAAATTATTGTTGATGTACCACTGAGTATCCTAAATCAATTATCAAGTACTCAGCTTCACGTTTACGATCAATTGGCTTATGAATATTGCAAGGCATTGGATACTTTATGTGGCTATTTGAAAGGAAATACTAAAACAATGGAAATAAAAGTATTTCAACTGAAGGAAAATGAACAGCTGAGAACAAAGCTCAAGCTAAAAGGAGCTAACATTGAAATAAATAGCAAAGATATGTGCTTAAGTCTTATGAAAAAAATACTTAAGATATTGAAATTTGTATTGCATGAAAGTGTAAGCTTCAATAGTACAGATTACTCTACATTATCCCTATTAGACAATTTGCTCTATGTTTTAGCTTGTGGGCATTTTGAATGTGAAATATTTGAAATTTTCATATTATCTATTCTGAAGAGATTAGATTATAACAGTCAATGCTGGCATATTCAAATAATATTAAAAATCCAAGCAAGTCTTTCATTATATGAACAATTTTTTTATGAATTCTATAACAATATCAATCCAAAAAATATTGATAAACCCATATTTGAAAATTTGTTATTTGAATATATAAGAATATGTGGCAAACTAAAAACAGATATTGGCCAACACAATGAGAGGATAATGATATTTTTAATCAAATATTCTATCCAATGTAATAATCAACAAATTAGGCCACCCAGAACTGTTTTAGCTCTAGCCACCAAATATTATAGTGATACTATTTCTGATATTACCAATATTGTGAGAAACAATATAGCTACTGTGATCAATCAAAACGATTCTGTGATTTTTAGCTTATTAAAACCGCACATTTTTAAAGAACTTTGTGATTATATTGGAATTAATTCACAAAAAACTAGCCTGGATTGCTCTGAAGTAAGCGAAACTTGGAAACTATTTTGTGAATGTCTTAATCACAATTGGAATGAAATTCAATGCACCAATAATGTTTGTCAAATGCAAAATCAAATTGAATTTTTGATAAAAATATTCAAAGATTTACTGGACATTACATTTCAGCTGAATAGACACTATAAGGATAGGGAATTTAGTGTATATTTCTTGAATGGAATTAATATTATACCAAGGCTTCTATATAATGTGGCCAAACATTATGATTCATGCAAAGATTTGATAAATACATTGCCAATTTTACAGCTTTTTGTAACACATCTCCCGTTGGCAGATTGCAAAAATATTGATATTTTTTTCCACTTAATCTCTTGCCCAGTATTGTTCCAACTAAACACACAATCCGCAATTATGTCTAATAATTATATTGGGAACGTCGAGGATAGACAAAAATTGAAAAACAGTATAAGCTCCCTATACAATTTCATTGGAAGTGATAGAAGATTGAAGAATGCAGATATTTTAAAAGTTATTAACGAGTTTTTTGATTGGATTTCAAGTGGATTTATTAAAAGTTTCAATAGAAATCAAAGTGATCAAATAGAGTCATTGCACTTAACAATTTTGAAAGAACTAAGGAGTTCGGAAGATACAACTATTCTTTCTGAGGTGAGTCACTTGATTTTTTTTTAATATGTAATTGTGATACTACTAAGGAGGGTGTGTAAGATTTTCTCCGTTACTAAATATGAGGGCTGAGTCATTTTTGTTTTGATTTTCAATTTGGTAATGTGTAATTATTTACTATTATGGGGGAATGGTGGTGTTCTTACTTCTTGCATTTTCTTATTCGTGGCGATGAAAGTAATTTTTGTCTACAGGGTCTTCCAACATGGAATGAACAGGACCCTAATTTTGAAATTTCCTGTATTTTTGGAGAAAACAAAAATAGGAATAAGATGTAACTTTTTTTGTATCGTTTGAAAATGTTAAGTACTTGGAAAACAATTGAACCAGAAACAAAATAGTTACGAAGTATATCTTTGTTTTTTTAAATGGAATACCCGATTTTTTATCTCATATTTAAGAAGCGAGCATGTTTTTACGTATACTATCCTCAATATAAATTTCGTTGATTATACAACTCACTGTACAGGGTCGCCGAAATTCGAGCCTCATCATTTGGATCTTGGTAACCGTTAGAGATACAGGGTCGATTAAATTATGGCAAAGGAATTTTATGACCAATAGAGTGCCGTTTTGAAACTAGAAAGATTCCGAATACCTACTCCCGGAGATAATCAGAAAAAAAACGAAATTTTGTAAAATCGTTTTAATTTTTTCCTGGGCTTATCTTTTTTTTTTGAAAATTCTTTATTAAACAAGATAAATTTACAATTTCAATAAATATTACACCTTTAATCAGTGCTGAACGTACTGGTCTTAAGGTTTCCTGACTATTTAAGCAACGGGACTAAACTATTATAGGTAAAAACAATAACAATAGAAAAAAAACAAAAATTTAGGCAAATAGGTATACAAAATTGAGCCTTATCCACCTAGTGACTGCAATGTAATTTCAGTTCCTTAACAAACCTACTTTCCCTTCCGATAGTTTTAATACTTATAGGTAAGCTATTATATATGGAGCATGCCTGAGTTATGGGGTTACATAGGCCTTTGTTTGTATTAACATTGGCTAAATATATTTTATCACGTGATCTAGTGTTATGTTCATAAACATTGTTATTGAATAGAACATCCACATTAGATTTTTGTGTTTTATTCAATATTCTGTATATAAGTTTGCCCTGTTCCAACCTCATCAGCCTCTGCAGATCAAGTGTACCTAGCTCCTCGTAGAGTTTTTCTGTATGGGTTAATCTGTCATATCGAAATAGGATTTTTAATATTTTATTTTGCAAAATTTGTACATTGTTGAAAATGGCAACACCGCACGTACCCCACACCGGAATTAGGTACCTGAGATGCGAGAGGCCAAAGGAATTATAAATAGACATTTTGGTTTTTTTGTTAACATAATCTCTAATTCTAAATATTGCACCAATCATGTTTGATATTTTTTTGCTTAAATGGTTTACATGCTCCTCCCAGTCTAGTTGTTGATCTATAACTAATCCTAGGTATTTAATTTTTTTGACCTGTTCGATTTCTTTATTATTCATTGCAATACATGGACTTCTCGTTATTTTATTCTTTTGTTTAAACAATATGTACTTGGTCTTATCAATATTAATTTTCAATTTGTTACGTAACAGCCAACTTGTATACAAATCTAGGTCGGCATTGACTATGAATTCTAGATCTTCTATCTTTTCGGCACCATAAAGCAACACAGTGTCATCTGCAAAAGTGTAGTATTGGGCCTCGAGTCCAGCATTTTTTAAACTCAGAACATAGCGAGTAGAGAAGTGGCCCAAGGACTGACGCCTGGGGCACTCCGCACTCACTAGTTTCAATCTCACTCGAGTAGCTGTCTAATTTGACATACTGTTTTCTATTGTTTAAAAAGGTTCTTAAGAGATTAATAGACCTGTCTCGCATAAATAGAGAAAGAGCCTAATTGTAATAAATACAAGTTAGAAAGTAATAAAAGATGACATGCGCGCGCAACTTGTAGGTTCAGTGTAGCCAGATTGTATTGTTGCAGAACAAATAAAGACAATACAAATCGAACATTATAACATTAAAGAAGTGATATAGTGTCAAGTGTTTTACAACGCCTTGAATCAAACAAAAGAAGCGCTTGAAAAGTTTATGTTAACATCGTTTACACTTTTATTTTGATAAATGTTTCATCCGGCAACATTGCACAATGAAATTGCAAAGGAATATGTCAAGTATAATCTGACAAAACCTTGAACGACACTGCGGTGAGTTCAAGTAATATGTAAAGTATTAGTTTGCTCTTTGTCGAATTACACGTTACAAAGAAAGAAGGAACGATTCACTCTGAACTGGCCCCTGAATAAGAATATGACGCAAACCTGTACCAAACTTGCTTCTCATTGGACGCTCACCTGCAGCCTACAAGCGACGCGCGCAGTCCAGGTAATAGGAGATCGGTCTATTACTGGTCCTCGAAACCCCATATTCCTTAGTTTGTCAAGCAGTATGTCATGACTTACCACATCGAATGCTTTTCTTAGATCAATAAACACTGCAGTTACTATCTGGTGGTTATCCAGCTTTACCAAAATATTGTTAATCAAATCCACAGTCGCACTCAATGTCGAGCTGCCCTTCATGAAGCCGTATTGAAAGGGATCACTACTGAGATACTTCTGAATGAATGCCACCATTCTTAATTTAATTATTTTTTCGATTATTTTAGAGAACACACTAATTAGACTTATTGGCCTATAGTTATTTTTATCTTGCTTACTGCCAGATTTGTATATAGGGGTTATCTTTGTAATTTTGAGTTCCTCAGGAAAGCTACCAGTGACCAGAATTTCATTAATCAATTTTAATAGAATAGGTATCAATAACTCTTTCAAATTTCGGATATCCCGAACTGTAATTTGATCATGCCCGGGAGCAGAATTCAGTTTCAGGTCCTCAATAACTTTCCCAAGTTCCTCCAAGTCTGTAGGTGCTAAAAATAGAGTATTTTCGCAGTTGATTTCTTGGAAATTATTTATATTATTTTGTAAATCTGGCTGTAAGCTTTGAAATTCTTCATCTATACTACTGGCAATTTTTTTCCCTACTTGAGAAAAGTGTTTATTCAAAACATTAGCTATGTCTACAGGATTTGTACTTACAATATTATCAGACTCGAGTTTATCAATTGTAATCCTTGATGTTTTATTACCCAAGAAGTCATTAATGAAACGCCACTGTTTTTTAAAGTCACATCCTGTTTTTTCCCACTTGCTTTTGAAGTGATTATTTTTTAATACCTTTATTTTATTATTTATTTTATTTTTTAGGGATTTAAAATTAATTGCACTAGTTGCATCGGTTTTTTGGCACATTTTTTTATACAGTTTGTCACGTTCATCCATTAGATTGAGTAACTCACCAGTTATCCAAGTGTTAGATTCTCGGACTTTAATCATCTTGGTATACTCGCATCGTGTTTTACACTGTTGTATTGTTGTAATTAAATGTTGAAAAGAGTCTATGTTGTATCTGAAGAGCAATTTTAAAATAAATCTCACTTCATCATTGTCACTTTTTCCCCTTTGGAAGATGGTGCTACTAAATTTAAAATTTGACGTTTCGTCTTCAGACGGCCATCCTCAACTTCCTTTTTTTTTTAAATAAGGACCTGGATTTTTTTATTTGCGATTTTGTCATATTTGGGCATCCTAAAAACGATACTGTTTATAATTTTTCAATAACACGGTAAAAAAGCAGGTCTGTATTTAAAAAATAAATAAATTGATGATAATTCCAGAGGAATGGAACGTTGGATTTTAAATTTAATGCCGCCATCTTATAGAGAAGAAAAAGTGACAACGGGAATGTAAAATTAGTTTTTCACAAACTTTTTAAATAAAATCAGGAGAAAATGAAAACTATACGAAAAAAACATAAGGACCCCGCACACATCTTATGGGTTTTTGGTTTTCTGTCAAACTCGATAAAAATTTTGATATGTGATAGACCTTGACTTACTGATAAAAAGTTCTCATGGGCCCAACCCGATACTATGAATAGTTTCCGAAATACAGGTGGTTTAATGTCCAAGAAATGTACACATTTTATATGCATTCACATCCAGCTGTCACCTTTTAATAGGTTTGTCAAAGTGAATTTCATTGGTTGAAACTAGTTTTCTGACTGTTTCTGACTGTTTTCGACCAATCAAATTCACTCTGACGGGTTTGTGATTTTTGCAGAAACAGACCTATAATTAGGTGACAGGTAGATGTAAATACATATAAAATGTGTACATTTCTTGGACATTAAAGTACCTGTATCTCAAAAACTAATCATAGGATTGGTTCGAGCCCATGAGAACTTTTTATCAGGAAGTCAAGGTCTATCACATATTAAAATTTCATTGAGTTTGACAGAAAACCAAAAACCCATAAGAGGTGTAAACTATCGGCCCGACTTTAAACCTTAAGGTTTAAAGTCAGCCATATAGTTTATTACAGCAACGCGAGATGTCAGTACTGTCGCCCCTATAGTGTGCCCTAACTTGATAGTCAAAAAAAAATAGAAATCTGCATTTGATTAAATTGTGTGATGCAGAGTTTTTTCTTTTTTTTGCGGAAATTCGAAGTATCGGCCTGACTTTAAACCTTAAGGTTTAAAGTCAGCCATATAGTTTATTACAGCAACGCGAGATGTCAGTATTGTCGCCCCTATAGTGTGCCCTAACTTGATAGTCAAAAAAAATAGAAATCTGCATTTGATTAAATTGTGTGATGCAAAGTTTTTTCTTTTTTTTGGGGAAATTCGAAGTATTATTCTGTTTTACATAAACAGGGTTGTAGTTTGGACCAACACAAATAATTTTGAACGTTCATCCGTCGGATTTTTGTTTAAACAGTGTAGCTACAGGCGTATTTCCAACTATTCTTGCAGTAGCGAGAAAACTACAAGTTCAAAAAATTTGAAAAAAATATATGTCGCGTAGAATTGCAATAGTAGTTCGTAATAAAAATAACGGGAAACTTCATCTATTCGTT